GGTGTACCTACCTTCATGCAGGTCAAACATTCATACATATAAAATAAAAATAATACATGAAATATTTTTAAAAAGATAAACCCCAGGCCAGGCAAGCTATAAATCTGCTTGGCACTTGACTAGGTCCATATGGAAGTCAGCCTGCTGGCAGCAGACAATTGCATGGCAGGGACGGGAACTTTAGAGAAAGAGTGAAGCCCACAGTGTTAGGGCAAGCATGCTTAGAACAGAGATAGAAAAAAAATGAAAAAGTTGCACTTTTCTGAATAATTGAGACAAGTGGGCAGACATGAAGCTGCCTGGGCCTCAGGAGCTACTGCTGGGGGGCAGGACTTTTTAGTCTTTTAACAATGCACTGCAAACAGGTGCTACATGCAAATCTACCTCATTCCTTTAAATAGTCACTTTACCACATTATACTGACAATGGTAAAAAAAAGATGTGAATAAAAGATATCATATACATTTCTTCAGTGTTAAAGATACACAGATGTGTGTGGAAAGATATCCCATACCCGATTACGTTACCAACAAGTGGTAAAGCTGTTTTTGCCAAGTCTCTTACAAAATATCGATGCTATTTTGGGGTACTGTTAGGTGAGTGGTGTTCCCTCTAGCCTTCACCCTTCTTTGAACTTTTCTTGCCAAGAAAAAGAAAACAGGTTGTCTCACACCTTTAGCTTTTACAGAGGCATGGTATGGATTCTGAGGTATTTTCAAACACATTCTTTTTGGGGGAGTATTTTTGAAACAGGGTCTCTTTGTAGCCCCAGCTGGCCTGGAACTCTCTATGTAGACCAAGCTGGCCTCAAACTCACAGAGATCCGCCTGCCTGTGACTCCCAAGTGCTAGGATTAAAGATGTGTTCCACCACACCCAGCTCAAACACATTCTTATGTCAGTTTTCTAGTGAAAATTTGACACAAGTTTAGTCAAGCCTTTATTATCCTAAGGAATTCAATATCCTTATACTTCTACTTCTGTCATTTTGTCTTGACAAGTTAGCTGTGTGTACTGTATATTATATTGACAAATTGCCATGTGATTTTGAGCACACTGAGAATCTGGCTCTGAAATTGGTTGTCCCCAATTTCAAATCCTAGCATATTTGTCTCAAAATGTCTTCCGAGGCCCTTTGTCTGGGGAATGGGTGGGCCTGCCGAAGTCTGCGACAGGAAGCAGACTACAGAAAAACAGGCCAAGTTAAAAAACATTGCCCTTGAGAACAGCTAGAAAGTAAACCCTTTCCAACAATGGTTTTTATTACTTATCCTATGATACAAAAGTGCCTGCAGTGGGAATGAGAAGCTGGAAGTTCAGCCATTGGGCACTCACCCATGAAGAGAATGCTCAATCAGAAACTTCAGCTGACTGCTACAACTTCCCTATTCAGATTCTGCTGGATATTATAAGCCCCTGATTTAATGATGCCATCTCTATCTGCTGTTATTTGCTGTTTTATTTGAAAACCTCTCCTTAGGGGACACTGTTCTATTTGAGACTTTCAATGGAGAACTCTACCTGACTGCCTTAAACATGGCTTCCTCTATCAGTTTCTGCTGGGTGTTTTGAGCACCAGATTTGATGATGTTTTGCTATCTATCTATCATCTATCTATCTATCTATCTATCTATCTATCTATCTATCATCTATCTAATACTTGTTATTTATTTGGTTACTTCTGCTTGCTGTATATTTTATAAACTCGCTCATTCAAAACCAAAAAAAATGACTATTGTAAGTCATTCTCTGAATCATATAGTATATTGTCTTAGAGTAATTTTTTTTTGAGATGAGGTCTTGTGTAATCCAGTCTTTTCTTGAAATTGCTGTTTCATAGATTGACCTTAAACTAGTGATTGTCCTGCCTTTGCTTCCTGAGTGCTGGGATTATAGTCATGCACCCCTATATGCTGCTTTTAGTATAGTTTTAAAGCTCCTCAAAGACTTTTTCATAAAGCCTGACATTAACATTATGATTTATTGCACAGAAAAAAATTGTTATTAGGAGAGACTATCTGCCAAAGGCCCTAAGTGTCCTTGCATGATCTTAGACTATATGCTAAAAATGTTAGGTCCTGGCTACTCTTTAACCACATAGATAAATTTTAAATTGTGCTTACAGTAAGCAGCCTTGAAGGATGGGATAACAGTGTTCCTTGGACACAGAACAGGCTTTTTTTCTTCTTTGAAAACAGTAAATTTCCCAATCTCAGGCCTTCTTCCTTGTAATGCAAGGCAGTGCATGTTCAGGGATCCATGGGCCCTTTGTCACACCATGGGACTTGGAAATCAGAGAGACAGTACAAACTAACATAAAGTTCTAGCTACTGCTTTTCTATAATAAGATCTTAGTCTCTGACCTAACAGTTTAGTGTTTTCTGCCAGCAGGCTAACTTGTTAGCTTATAAGTGTAGTAAAAGCTCAGGTTCTGTACAGTTCCTGACAGGTGTTTTCAGACAGTATTCCTAAAGCAATTATGTTATGGAAATGTTTCCTACCAGTATAATTTTTGTCATGTCTGTGTACCACCCAGGCTATTAATTCTGTGTTCTACTTAATGGTTTTCTTCTAACTGACTCACATCATTTGAATAATTTTTGAAATTAAACTTTATAGCATAGCCTTCAATCTGAATTATCATTGTATGCTTTAAACCAGGAGTACATTAGTGCATGTCACATAAATACATGGACGTGACAATTTTAAATGTTTGCCTGTTGTCTAAAGTCACCTTTCCAGCCTGGAGAGATGGCTTGGCAGTTAAGAGCACTGGCTGTTCTTGCAGAAGACCTAGGTTCAAATCTCAGCACCCACATGGTGGCTAAAATCTTATGTAATTCCAGTTCAGGGGATCCAACAGCCTCTTCTGTCCTCTGAGGGCATTGCATGGCACAAGTGCACTTGCATACATGTACACAATACACTCATGCACAGAAAATAAAAATAAAGCCAAATAATAAGTAAAAATAAATAAAATCACCTTTCCCATCCACCAGGCTCTTCTAAAGCCATCATATCTGGGACAAAGCCAACTAATATTCCTCCTTAGTGAATTCTGAGATCTTCCCCTGCTCCTTATAAAAAGTACTATATAAGGTCTCCTGAGAAAAGATGGAAGTCTAATGTACTGACTTGCAATTATATGCAATTGCCCTCATCCAGGAAAGTCTGTCCAGGGCATCTCAGTCATCGGCCCTGGAGTACCAGGTACCTCCTGCAAGTTGGAGTAGAGAAACCAAAGACAGATCATCTCTGGAGAAGTGTATGTTTTGGGTGAGCCATTTCACATCCTGTCCTAGTGACCACCTTCTGGACTACAGGGAATTGGATTTATTCATTCTTGTAAAGCTGGCACTGTAGGCTTGTGGATTCTTACTCAAGTCAGAATTCCAGCCTCATCTCAGCCACTTGTCTGTCAGAATCTTGAAGAATGTACATGAGAGCTTCCAAAAAGAGCATCATAAGAGATGGCTCAGCAGTTAAGAGCACTGGTTGCTCTTGTAGAGGACCTGGGTTCAATTCCCAGCACCCATGTGGCAGCTAAGAACTGTCCATAAATCTAGTTCCAGGGGCTCTGACATCCTCTTCTGATCTCCATCAGCCTTGCACAACATGGGTGTGCTTACATGCATGCAGGCGATACACTCATACACATAAGATAAAAAACAAAAAAATAGCCTCATAAAAGAAACTATTCAAGTGGCATGTCTACCATAACACTTGCATTTCCAGAGGGGAGTGGGAGCATCCCTAAATATAACTTCAACTTCACTGTAAATTTTACATAATTCTAGGGGTACCTGTTGAACCTGTGAGAAGCACCTGTCACTAGCATGCAGGGGTGATCACTCACTAGAAGGAAGCAAGAGTCAGAAAGACAAAAATGCCTCTTCAGATCCCAGACAGGAATTCTGATTAAAGCATGTCTATTACTCAGACTTGTGTTCTGAACACTCTCAAATGGGTTCATCTTGTGCCTTTTTTAGTGTTTATTTCTTGTATTTCTATTCTATTCCACTGATTTATACATTTGTCTTTATCTAATACTATATTGTTTTGATTATTGTAGTTATGCCTTGAATTTGTCATCTTACTCCTTCAGTCCTCCAAATGCTGGGATGTGCTGCATGCTGTACATTTTCTTTTTTGAAATTAAAAAAATTGTATTGAATTTCATACAGAAAATCATCTTTATACCTCTTTCGCCTTTGGCACCCTCCCATAACTCCCCCACTGGAGTTCATACATTCTGTCATTTGTGCCAAGGTCTATCATGTAAAGTTAATGTCTTCAGATGTCAGTACAAGTTCATCCACTGGGTTCTAGTCAGCTTACCTGGAGTCCTTCCCTTTAAGAAGATCCATTCTGTGCCTTAAAAAAAAAAAGTTAAAAATCACTAAGCTGTTAAGTTATATCTCTAAGACACTGTGACCCAAGTGGCACTGCCTAAGTGTCTATCAAAATAGACATGGGCAAACTTTTCGTCACTTTTGATGTCAGTCTGCACATCTGGCCCACCAGGAGTACCAAAGGAGCATGCTGAGATTTAGTACTTGAGAATTCTAGCACCTTGTAGCAGTAGGAGCCTGAAATTTGCAAAATCTGATGGAGAGGCTGGAATACCTAGTATATAGGTTAGTATCTAGGGCAGTTTGATGGGAAACTAAATGGTGCAGAGGGATATGTAGCACTCACCTAATAGAGGCCTGATTTTGTTCTCAAGCACAGATTTTCTCCATCCTTCCAAATAGCTGAAACCAATCTATAGAGTTTGGATCTTGCAAGAGCAAATGGGAACAAAACCCCGTCAAACAGTTCTCACTCAGTACCTTATTTGACCTCTACAACATTCCTGTGAGGTGTTTCTTTTTGCAGATGAGAAAATACTGTAATCTTTTAACTCCATGATCTGGTTTATATTGAGGTTTATATTTGCTTCTAGCATTTTATCAATGCCCTGGTAATTTGAGAAATAAATTGATAAGTACTATTAATTGCTTATTTTTAGTTATAAAACTTTTATTATTTTTAGCAAGAATAATGTGTGGTCATTGTAGGAATGTGGCAAATACAAATAAGCAGAAGAAAAATCATTAATAATTTCACCACTGAGATTGTACTGTCATCTTTCACAAGTTTTTATGTGCATATATGTAATATACAAAGGTAATCTTGTCTTTCAAAAATATGATTTTCTCATGTTACTGTGTAGCCTTTTCTCATTTTGTATCCCATCAGAAGCTCTCTCTTTCTTTTTTACAAATCAGTAAAGCTCTCTCCTTAAAAGCCAGAGACATGTAGATTGGTTCTAAATATAAGCAATAAGATACAGTTAAGAGACACATCTAAAACCACTAACAGCAACAGATTAAAATGGAGAAGATTGGCAAAGGCATATCAGGAAAATGCTAATAAAAAGAAAAGTATATTGCCATGGTAATAACAGATAAAATAGAAATCAAAGCAAACTACATTAAATAGGGGTAAGGATGGTTTCGATTAACCTTCCAACGCATCACAATAAGTTTGTTTCTCACTCTCCTTATCTCGTCTACCTCATCCACGTCCCTAAACATATCTTCACTGCTTAAATGCCTGTTGTGTATATCCTCTTTAAACTCCTGAAGAGATTGAATCAGCCTTTCCCTAAAAGTTTCTTCTGATTTTTCCTCCTCTTCTGGCTCTTCCTCCTCCTCCTCTGGCTTTTCCTCAGGCTTTGGCTCTTCCTCAGGCTTTGATTCATCCTCATTTTCTGGTTTTCCTTCCATTTTTTGGCAGGGTTTCATCTTGAATCTGCTTCTCTTCCTGCCTATTTCTGTTTGGATGCAATTGCTTCTAGGAACCAAGAAAGAGAAAAAAAAATGAAAAATTGGTAAGTGTGAAGGTGATGTGTATGTAAAGAGCTCTCACCACAGTTTGTCTTTTTTTCCTTTTCTTCTTTTTCCTTCTTTTTTTTTTTTTTTTTTGGAATAACTGTCGTCATCAAATACCTTCCACCTGAGAAGCCCAGTCAGCAATCAAGGCTTCCAAGACCCCGCCTCACTTACCTCCATTTTCCACCCCCTCCCCTCTCTGTTCCCTCCCTCCAGCATTTTCCAAGGCCCTCCTTCCCTCCTCCCGCCCTGGCCTTCCAGAACCTTTCTCTCTCCCAGGCCTAACTCGGGGCCTTCCAAATACACAGTGGGTTGCTGGGGAGGGAAAAAAGAAGGGGGAAGGGAAAAGGGAGTGTGGCCTACAGGGTCTGCCGCCCCAGCACATCCACCCATCCCCCACACCTCCTGGGAGTCTTATAAAGTTCCTCTCAATTACCTGGTACTGATCTGGTCAGTTTCTTTCTCTTATTTTTTTTAGCCTTGAGCAGTGAAGAACAAACCTGCAGACAAACTGGAGAAGGGAGGGGATGTTGGGGGTGGGGCGAGCCAGCTCTTGGTGCTCCAGGGACCGGCACCAGAGACCAAGAACGTAGCTTTTCTTACTTGAGGTGTCGCTTACAGAAAGTGTCCCACCCTTTATTCCCACAGGACTCTTCCTTTCCACGGTACAAGTTTGTCTTTTTCTATAATAGCGGTGAGAAAAGCATATGATTTCCAATTATCTTTAGGACCGAGGCGAGGTTGGTACCCGGATGGGTGGGTGCAAGAAAAAGAGATCTGAAATCTCAGAGTATGATTATTTTTAAGCTATGGTACGTCCCCTTGTCTTTCTTTTGAGACCCCTAGTTCCTTTCACAAGTATCCCTTTCTGCAGGGCTGGAGGTTGGGGGTAGAGGGACAGACTTAACTGAGACTCCCAAGTCTCTACGCTAGACCACCCTACATTAGAAAATCCCGGGCAATACTCCTCTGACACCCACCTGCAAAATTCAAGCAAGCTGTCTCGTCCTTCCGCTGGTTTTTCAAACGGCCGCCTGCAAGGCTGAAGGAAGCTGGTACCCAGATGGAAACAAGGACCAGACTAGCAAGATTTCTGCACACGTCGACTCTTGGTCACATGAGATCTACGTCACCAGTGAGCTCGGGTCCCCAATCTCCACTCCCACAAAAAGCGCGGCAGATGTGGGCCCGCCCTCTCCCTCTTCTCCCTCACCCACCCCCTCCCAAATACACGCTTGGCCCTACCAATCTTTTCTGTTGCTGCCTTTTCCGGAAGGAAAAAAATTGTTTGTTTTTGTTTTTTTGCAGTTCTCTCACTAATAAAAAGGAACATCTTTTTATCTGGAGACATTGAACTTTTCTGCTTTTAAGAATCGATCCTTCCTGTCTTCAACTCCAGGGATCACTAACTCCTCCATCCATTTGTCCTCCCTTTCAGCTTCCATCTGAAATCTAGTCCTTCTCTGTCGTGGAGCCAGGTGGGTAGGGCAGGAATGGTAAAAGTAAAAATGATGTAAGGGGAGATTTTTGAGGACAATTTAAAGACTATACTGGTATAGCCTTTCCAAAAGTAACATCAGAAATGACAAAGCCGACTTACTTCAGTTACATGAATTCATGTATGCACATAAAAGATAAGGGCCTGGTATACAGTAAATGCATTAAAAGCAGGGCTGGAGAGATGGCTTAGAGGTTAACTGTACTTGCTGCTCTTGCAGAGCACCTGAGTTCAGTTCTGAGCCTCCCTGTCAGGCAGCTCACAACTGCCTCTCAGGCCAGCTCCAACAATCTTCCGGCCTCTCAGTGGCACAGACGTACACATGGCATATATTCACACAGACACATACAAAGAGACACATAAATAGAATTTAAATTAATCTTTAAAAAATTAAAAAGCATATGTTGTTATTATTATATTGCAATTTTGTTTGGGGAAAATGATTTAAAATGAAGAAAAATGTTTGAGGCCAGAGACCTTGTGGTAATATTTCCAAGAAGCTGTGCTTCCTGAAGAGCCATCACTTGACCAGCTGTCTGGTCCATATCGTTAGCAAGTGGTCTCATCATCATAAAGAAGGTAATGATGTACAAATCATGAATTGATTGTTGGGATATCTCAACACTGAAAGTGTAAATGTCTTTACTCCTATAAGCCACTTGGATCATAGAAAACCTTTAACATTCACTCTGTCCCAATTTATTTCACTTGCTCCTATATTAAGTTATGGTATCTTCTGGAAAACAAGTGCATTTGAGACCTGGATAACTCAAATGTCAATAGCTTGAGTCTCTTGGACAGAACACTGGAGTGAAAATGGAACTGTGGTTTGGATAAGGTTTAATTCTGTCCCCCTTTTAACCAAAGGGACTCATAACTTCACTCTAGCTTCTCTCTCTTTTAATTGACTGTAAAGTCAAGTCACTAATATTATGATGACAATGATTACTGGGGCTTTCAAGGAGTTGAAAGGCACTTTAGCTGAAAACATTGGGTCCTCAGGGGAATACAGAAATCCAATGGGTATCTAAAAGATGTCGGAAAAGCTTGGCATTTCTGCCTCCATCTTGTAGCTTTCCCTTTGGTTACCTTGACCTTTGAGTCTGATTTCTGCTCAATTTCACCTGTAGACATGGGAGTTATTTAAGAAATGATTTGCCCTGAACTGTACTGCACTACAAGACTAATTCAGCCTAAATTTACAGTCTTTCTCCTCCTCTTCAAAGCTACAGACACTAAAGTAAGAGCAACTAAGATAATGCTCTGTTGCAGGCCATTAGAGTGATGGGATCTAGACATTTCCAGTCATCAGTCCTTTGCTATCCATCACCTCTCCTCCTTTTCTGCTCTAAAATGTCCCTATATATATCTGTATCCCCTAAGATAGTCTTTGTTGGAAATAGCCTCTCATTCTACTTGGTTTGTTAGCATTCTAAGTGAAAACTTTTCCCTGCTCCAAAAATTTATCCTTGAATCACTGTCCTTTTCAAGTGGTAAGTAATACACTTTGGTAACACCTTCAGGTTTCTGTGTTGGAAGCCTGGCCCCTAATGTGGCAATACAATAGATGATGAGGTATAGCCCAGTAGGAGGTCATTAGGTCATTTAGGGCATTGACCTAGATAGGAACTAATGTAGTTTTCATTGAATCCTGCTCAGCTCTCACAAGACAGTTGCTATAATGAGTTTGAACCCTTGGATTACTCTTCGGCTTTCTCTCTTGCTATATGATCTTTCTCACACATATTTTTTTGGTCTTTTTGAGACAGGGTCTCCCTATAGCCCCAGCTGGGCCTGGCACTCAATATGTAGACCAGGCTGGCCTCAAACTCACGAAGATCCGCCTGCCTCTGCCTCCCGAGTGCTGGGATCAAAGGCGTGTGCCACCACGCCCGGCCCTCTCACACATATTTTTACCATGATGCCATCCATCTACAATGCTGTGATATAGCCAGAAAGCTCTTACCATGGTAATATCAAGTGTAATGACATTGCCCCTCTAAAACTAAGACTAAGTAAATCTCTTTCCTTTTAAAATGGTCGGTCTCGGGTATTTCATTATAGTAACAGAAAATAGACTCATTCAGAACCAATGCCAAACTTAGAGCTGATTGAATGACCCTCAGTAAGTTCTACCCCCCCTATATTGGCCTTGCCCCCGAATTAGTTACTTTTCTTGTGACAAAATACATGACCAAAGCAAATTACAGAAGGGTTTATTTTGACCCATGGCTTTAGGGTCCAGTCTTTCATAGTTGGGAAGGCACGGATGAAAGAGCATGAGACAACTAGTCAAATTACATTTGTGGTCACAAATGAAAAAGAGATGAATTCTGGTGCTTTATTCAGTTTTCTTCATTTTATTTTCAGCATGTGATCGCAGGCCATCGAGTGCTGCCACCCACATTCAGGGTAGGTCTTCCTCCTCAGTAAATCTCTCTGGAAACACTCAGACACACCAAGAAATAATTTCCTAGGTGATTCCAAATCTTTGCTAGCTTGGTGATCAAGATTAGCTATCCAGATCTGTCTTCCTAAAAGTAAGCCACATCTATATACCTTGCAGGTTCACTCCTCGGCTAAGAGCTAGAGATAAAATAAATGGTATAGCTGGAAAGGAAGTCCCTTCTTCACATCAGACCATTTAGAGAAAGGCCAAAAGAAAGGAGGCTGTCAGGACTTAAGTCAAAAGAGTTTAACTTGGATTTCAGAAGATGGGGAGGACTTAGATGGAAAGAGAGAAGTTGGGGAAATTGTCTGATTGAACCCAGGTTTTCTTCCCTTAGTATTTGTTATCCTACTCTACTTAATGGATCCTTGCTGAGTAGAAGTTTATTTTCTCTGTCATAGTGGTATTTAGGTCTGTTGATAGCAGATATGCTGAAGGTAGTTTTAATCCAAGTATATTATATGGTCTGTGCTACACCAAGGGCATTCTATTTTATTCCCAGATAAAATAAAAAAAAAGACTCTTTCTTTTAAAACAAGTACTTAGACAATTAATTATAAAATACATGTCCTCTTTGAATATATTAATTCACTCATAGGTCTTCATTTTTGGAAAAGAGGTTATGGTAACTACATGACTTACTATAATAAAGTTTGTAGACCTGACTTGCCAGCATTGATCTTTTGGCCTGTCCACACATAAACAGTTAATCGACAAGTGAAAATCAGCCATGAAGGAGCAGATTTTCCACTGTAGAGCAGACTTAACCACAAGCACATATATACATATGTATATACAAATGGGCATTCTCATAAACTGTAGGTGTTCCTGGATGGTTATGTTAGATGGTGAAGGAAAACTTCATAATTGTGAAAGGAATATATGTATCCTCTTAAAAGGTATATGTTGAAGCCTAATACCCACATGGTGGTTTCTAATGGTGAGGCCATGGGAAGGAAATAAGGCAATATGGTGGAACCTCAATGAATGGGATTACTGCTCTTAGGAGACAAAAATGATGTAGGTAGTAGAGTACGAGGAAGAAGAGAAGGAAGAGGAAAGAGAGAAAAGATGTGAGAGAGCTTGTTTCCTTGCTTTCTTATGCTTGCTGTGCCCTGTGCTTGCTTTCTGTCTGTTCTGTGATGATACAGTAAATGAACATCTACAAACCAGGAAGCAAACTCTTACAAAATACTAGGTCTTCTGGTATGTTGACCTTGGACTTTTCAAGTCTCTAAAATTATGAGAGATGTATGTTTAAGGCACAAGGCTATGGTAATTTCTCACAGAAGTCCAAACTGATTAAGATGAGACATATTGAGAATAGAAGGCTAATTTTTTCATCTATACAAGTAGAAAAGAAGAAAAATTCCGATTATATTCAGACTCTCCAAAGCCCATATGTTAAAGGCCTGGTGTTCATCTTGTACCGTTCAGAGGTGTTGGGAATTTTAAAAGGTAAGGCCTAGTGGGATGTTTTAGGTTACTGGGGGTGTATCCCAAAGGGAATTATGGGTACAGAATCTCTCTCTCTCTCTCTCTCTCTCTCTCTCTCTCTCTCTCTCCCTCCCTCTCTCCCTCCCTCTCTCTCGGCTGCCATGTGATGAGTAGCCACTTGTACTACATCCTCCTCTCATGGTGCATTACACCATAATAGGACCTTAAATAATGTACCAAACAATCAAACAATCACGGACTGAAACCTCCAACATTGTGAGCCAAAACCAGTCTTCCTGTTTGTAAGTTGTTGATCTTAAGTATTTTTGTCACAATAACAAAAAGTTGACCAATGAAGAAACTCAGAGCTGACAAACATGGAAAAAAATTCGCAGATACTGCAAGAATGTAAAACAGTACATTTTTAAAAGGTATTTTGGTGATAGGGCTTTAAAATAAGTATACTCATGTAGGGATTTGTCCTACAGAAATAATACCATTGTAGCAGCTGTAATGAATTTTTTAAGACAGGGTCTCCCTGTAGCTCCAACTGGCCTGAATGAATCTCATTATGTAGACCAGATGGGCCTCCAGCTCACAGAGGTCTGCCTGCCTCCGCCTCCTGGGTGCTGAGATTAAAAGCATGCCCCACCACATCTGGCATGTAATAAGTTTTGAAAGCAGCAAAAATCTTAATTTCTGTTCAAAGTGTTTTGGTTTAAGAACGATGTGATGACTCATACAAGACAAT